CTAGTTTTATTTTTTTGCATGTGTCTGTCTGATATGCCCAAACATGTATATTGAATAGACTATCTTTAGGCTATTGCATGTTTTTGCCTCCTTCATCAAATATTAATCCTATCTAATAAAGAGGGAATATGCTAATTGACCCTCACGCCACTGCAAAGATGGCGGCACCCACAATCAATAAGAGAGGAATATGCTAGTTGATTGCCCCACCCTCAAAGATGGCGGCACCCACAGTCAATAAGGAAAGAATATTCTAATTGACTGTCCCATCCTCAAAGATAGTGGCTCCCACAACCAATAAGGAGAAAATATGCTAATTGACTGTCACACACAGCCACAAGATGGAGGCATCCAGTCCACTCAGTCCCTCCAGGTTGGCAGGCATGCCCATAGGTGGGTCTGGTTACTCTGTGCGCCTGCCTCTGGAGTCCCTCAGTTCCTTTAACCCTCCAGCTGCCCAGGGCTGGCTTGAGGCACAGGCAAGCCTTGGAGGATGGCTGGCCATCCACCCAGGGCCACCCGAAGCTCAGGTAACCAAGGCCAGCCGAGGCCTGTGCTGCTGGCAGTGGTAGCAGAGGTGTTACCGGGGTATCGCCTTCCCCTGATCACCGGGTCACCTCCCTCTCCTGAAGGCTCCTGGAGTGTGAGAGGGGGCAGGCTCGGCTGAGGAACTCCTCGCCAGTGCATGAATTTTCCTGCACCAGGCTTCTAGTTCATTATAAAGGCATGGGTTTACTTCTGGGCCCTCCATTCTGTTCTCCATTTATCTATATTCTGGTTTTATGTCAGTATCATGCTGTTTTGATTACTATGGCCTTGTAGTATAGCTTGGTATCAGGTAGTGTAATTCCTCTACCTTTGCTCTTTCTCAAATCATTGTAACTATTCTAGGTCTTTTGTGGTTCTATTATTAGAGCATTTGTTCTATAAAATACATCATTGGTACCTTGATAGAAATTGTGTTGAATGTATAGATTGTTTTAGGTAGTATGGGCATTGTAATTATGTTAATTCTTCCTATTCATGAATACAGTATATGCTTCCATTTATCTATATCATCTTCAGTTTTTTTCTTCAGTGCCTTATAATTTTCTGAGTACAGGTCTTTTACATCTTTGGTTAAATTTATTCCTAGATATTTTATTCTTTTGAAGCAATTGTGAGTGGGATTGTTTTCTTAGTATCCCTTTCTCATATTTTATTATCTATCTATATAAAACCCTAATATGCAAATCAAGCAAACGGTAGAAAGACCAGTTGATATGCCATGCACTGACCACCAGGGAACAGACGCTTAAAGCAGGAGCTGCCCCCAGCGTGCAGGCCCCAACTGGTGAGGGTGGCGGGGCTGGCGAGCAGATGGCACCAGGCCAGCCAAGGTGGGTGTGAGTGGGGGCCCTGATCACCTCTCTAGTTGCCCCACAGATCAGCCCTAATTGCCAGACAGGCCTACGGATTCTACCCATGCATGAATTTCATGCACTGGGCCTCTAGTTGATATATTAAAATGCAACTGATATTTGGATATTTATTTTGTATTCTGCTACTTTACTGAATTCATTTATATACAGTATCATGTCACCTGCAAATAATGGCAGTTTTACTTATTCCTTTCAAGTTTGGATGCCTTTTATTTCCTCTTCTTACCTGATTGCTGTAACTTAGACTTCCAGCTCACTATGTTGAATAAGAGTGGTGAAAGCAAACATCCCTGTCATGTGCCCTATCTTAAAGGAAACATTTGTAGTTTTTGCCCAGTAAGTATGATATTGGCTGTGGATTTTTCATAATGGCCATTATTATATTTTCTTTGTATTCCCACTTTTCTGGGAGTTTATATTGTAAATGTATGCAGGATTTTATCACATGCTTTTTTGCATCTGTTGATATGATCATGGGTGTTTCTCCTTTATTTTGTTTATGTGGTGTATCATGTTTATTAATTTGCAGATATTGTACCAACCTTACATTCCTGGATTAAATCCCATTTGATTATGATGTATAACCTTTTCATTGTAATACTAGATCCAGTTTGATAATATTGTGTTGAGGATTTCAGTATCTATGTTCATAATTTTCTTTCTTATGGTGTCTTTATCTGAGTTTGGAATTGAGATAATTCTGGCCTCTTAATTTTTTTGGAATAATTTGAAAAGGATAGATGTTCTTCTTTGAATGTTTGGTAAGATTCACCTGTGAAGCTATCTAGTTCTCTAAGAATTTTGTCCAATTTGTTTATGAATTTCCCTCTCAAGACTGCTTTTGCTGTGTCCCATAGATTTTGGGTTGTTGTGTTCTCATTTTCATTAGTTTGAAGATATCTTTTGATTTCTTCCTTGAACTCATTTTTGACCCATTCATCATTTTGTAATATGTTATTTACCCTCCATGTCTTTATGTTTTGGTGTTGTACTATGGTACTGTGTTAAGTCCTCTATTTCTTTACTTACCTTATGTTTAATTGGTCTGTCCATTATTAATAGTGGTGTATTAAAGTCTCTTATTATTGTAAAGTCTATTTTCCCCTTCAGTTCTATCTATTTTTGTTTTATATACTTTGATGGTTTCTTACCAGGTATATAGATGTTTGTAATTGTAATATCTTCTTGCTGTATTAAACCTTTTATTAATATATAATGCCCTTTTTTGTCTCTTGTAACCTTTTTATTTAAAGCCCATTTTTCTGTATAGCTACCTTTGTTCTCTTTTGGTTACTATTTGCATGAAATATCTTTATCCATCCTTTTACTTTCTATTTGTGTCTTTTACTCTATAATGGATTTCTTGTAGACAGCATATGGTTGGATCATAGTTTTTATCCATTCTGCCAATTTCTGTCTAGATAGTTAATCCATTTACATTTAAAGTAACTACTGATAAGAAGAAACTTCTTTTCATCTTGCAATTTTCCATATGTCTTAATAGTTTTTCTGTTCCTCATTCCCCGAATTTCTTTCTTATTTTGTTTTTAGTTGATTTTTTTCTAGTGAAACATTTGAATTCCTTTCTCATTTCCTTTTGTGTATATTCTATAGCTACTTTTTTTGAGGTTACCCTGGGACTTCCATTTAACATCCTAAAGTTATAACATCCCATTTTGAATTTATAGCAGCTTAATTTCAGTGACATACAAAATTGTTACTATACAGCTTTATCCCTACCTTCTTCAGTTTCAATGTCAAATCTTATATCTACAATTTCCTTTAGATGAATCACCCCTAGCCTCTGCACAGGACAGGTTAGCACTCATGGTACTCTTTCCACGGAGTGTGCTCTCCCACAGTTTCCTGGTCACTTTCAGTTGGTATGTGCCCAGGGCGTGGACACTTATTGTAACTTCAGTCAGTCCTGCCTGAGATCAGTCACAGATACATCCTGACAGTAAGCACATGTGACCTCATCCCGATTCCTTCATGTTCATTAATCCACGCTCAGTGTGTCTTTGAGAGGAGAGCATTAGAGTTTGTTGTTCTTGGCATTGGGAAGGCTAATTCTTCATCTAAGTACAAGTACACCTTCATAAGAATTCGGAATTTTTCTTAGGAGGAGGTTCTAAAGAAGCATTTCACCTTGGGCTCTTGGTTTGTGATGTTGGCAGGTCCAAGATTGGAATGAGTTTCGAGATTGAGCATTCAACTTTTCTAACTGTATTTTCTTAACTTGTGTGTGTTTCTGTCACTCTGTTGAAATCTGTCAGTGCTCACTCATCCTTAATATCACAAAGCCCCCGGTGTGACGGAGGACCCTCTCTCTGTTCTCTGTGCATCGGTGTACTCACAGATCCTGCTCTCAAGTTTCATCTTTAAATTTCCCACTGGAATGCAAGTTCCTGAAGCATGTTGTATTCTTTTTTTACATCCCAAGTACCTAATACAATGCCTGATACATAATAAGTGCTCAGTTAACATGTTGGTATTTGCTGCGCTGAACTGAAGAACTTGGTTCTCCAGCTCCAGATGGTGCCTGCACAGGAGGGGTTCTGCAAAGGTTTGTTTCAGTTGGCAATTTGAGAATGGGAGGAAGTTTGCTAGTTAGGATTTCACTAACTCCTGATCCAGGAGGCAAGAGGTTGAGGAATTTTCATAAATTCGTTTTTTCTTAAATATTGTGGCTTTGAAAGCATGCTAAAAAGAACTACTTATGTGTTGGGTTCTATAATAATCTGTGTTACTTGTATGAATTCAGTAAAATGCTCACAGTGAAACCTTTCGGACAGGGCTTCTCCCCATAAGGTCACAGTGGAAGGAGCCTGGCTTCTGTCATAGCATTTCCCTGGAGTTCCTGCCTTATTGTGATGCTCTCACAGTCCCACTCTGGGGAACACAGCACTTCCCATCATCTTGAGGTCTCTTTGGTTAGTGAGAAAGCTTCTGTGAAGACAATCGATTTATTAGATATATTTTACAATGTTTTAAAATAACTCACATTCTATACTGACCGTAGTGAGACTGCTCCGGGGATTGGAGAAGCTTGTTCCTGTCCCTTGTCAGTGGGCTGAGAGTGAATGTTGGCTGCTGTCACATGGTACAGCAGCCAAGTCTCACTGCACAGGTCTGTGCCCTTCAGCAAACGCACCTTCTCTGAGCCTCCCTGAATTGGGGCTTGTTTATCCATGTGTTCTGCTGGCCCATGCCCCCGGGCAGCGCTCTGTTGGGCCTGAAATGGATGTGAATAAGGTGTAGTCCCTACCCAGAGAAGGGAGTGAGTGGTGACCTCTCCTTACCAAGTTCACAGGCCCATATAGGGTTGCCGAGGGAACCCTTTGTTGGACTAACCTGCTATTCAAATGTAAGACATGGGGATTTAAATTGCTAGAGTTATTAGGCTGGGGACAAGAAAGTCATGTGTGTGTGTGTGATTTTCTCGTTAAAAAGGGGAAGACTAATGAGAAGATAGCAGCCCACTCCCTCCTAACACAGCCAAAGCGTGGTCACCATTGTCCCTTGCCCTGAGTCCTGGTGTCGGGCTCCGTGCACTCAGTGGGCCCTGCTGTCTTGCAGATGTGTCACGCAGCCACCAGTGCCTTCTGCCGATCCATTAAGCTACAGTGTGAGCTCTACCCCTCTAGAGAAGTGGCCATCTGCTTGGACCCTTACTGTGGACTTGGGTTTGTCCTGTGGTGCCTCTGCAGGTGAGTGTCCCTTTAATATCTTTAAAATAACAAATAAATCATACACCTTCTCTTGCACTCAGTCCCTGTTCTGCCCCTGCTCAGCCAGGCTGTCATGGTGTCATTCTGAGGTATCTGAACCAGTCAGTCTCCATGATGTTTGCTGAAACAGAGATGGTGGCCTCTGGGGACATTCTGAGAGCTGTTTGTCAGGGGCCCATGGTTTCCTAACCAGAGCACTCCAGGCCTCAGGCTTGCTTCCTTTGCTCTTAAATTCTAGCAAAATCCCTGGCCTGGAATTTGGATTAAATTAGCTGGTGTGGCTTGCTCTCCTCCTTCAACTCCTCCCTGATGCAGGTGGTGCGGGGGGAGCTGCCCCTGAGGGATAGCCCAAGCCAAAGCTTGTGCCAGGTATTTACAGATTATACATATATGTTCCTTGTAGAAATCTGAAAAATACAAAATACTATGAAGAAGAAAATAAAGCTACCAATAATCATACCACCTACTGATACCAAGAAAAAGTTATAATTAGCACTTGGCATGTAGCCTCTCAGAGCTCATTTTCTAATGCAACATAGCACCTTTTATTATTAACATCCGTGAATATATAAAGAACACTACAGTGAATGCCAGTGCCCACCATCCAGCTGCCATCCATGTTACTTCATCCATCTTTCCTTTCTACTGTCCCTTTTCCACGTGGGATATTTTATTTTAATTTTTTAATATATTTTATTGATTTTTAACAGAGATAAAGGGAAAGAGATAGAGAGCTAGAAATGTCGATGAGAGAGAAACATCGGTCAGCTCCCTCTTGCACACCCCCTACCGGGGATGTGTCCGCAACCAAGGTACATGCCCTTGACCAGAATCGAACCTGGGACCTTTCAGTCCACAGACTGACACTCTATCCACGTGGGATTTTTTTTTTTTTTTACATATTTTATTGATTTTTTTTTTGCCCCCCTCCTTCCCTCCCACGTATCCCCTCCCTCCCCAGAGTTTTATGTCCATTGGTTGTACTTATATGCATGTATACAAGTCCTTGGGTTGATTTATTGTCTCCCCCAGACTCACGTGGGATATTTTAAAGCAAACACCAAACACCACCTGATTTCGACCATAGCCCTTTAAGTTACATGTACAATTTTATAAATGTACATCAACATAGTTATAAAACTGAGATGCTACTGTATGAAACTAGTCACAATTTTTGATTTTTTTTCTAAATAGTCTATAGTAGTCATTTTTTCATGTTTTTAAACACTCTTCTAAAAAAATACTCTTAGTTCCTTCTTAATATTTAATAGTAATAGGTTGGATTAAAATCCAATCCTGTGTTTTTTAAAAACACTGGCATTCTAATTAAAACAATTAAACTTTTTTGAGGGGAGCATATAGAATCAAACAATTACAAATATGTTAATGATTTTTGCTGCCATCTCAAATGCAGTAGCATTGTGGGTAATTTTTTTCTTGGGAAATAGTTCAGAATACACCATACCATCCCAACAAGAGGGCCAAGGTGACCTTAGACATATTAGGCCAACATATTAGGACATATTAGGAAGCTTGTTCTACTACCTTGTAGGACAGCTGTCCATTCTCCACTTGGCAAAGGGTAAGCTGAAGCCTGTGAGTGGAGTGCTTCTTGGTCTTGCAGGGTCACCAAGCCTAAATCCCATTCAAGCAACAGAGAAGATGCCTTTGAAGGGAAAATTTTTGATGGGCATCACAAATAGCATGGGTGGGAGTGTCTTTAAAGGAATTGTGCATAGAGGGTTGCAATAAACTTTTTTTAACGTCTTCCCTGCAAATTCACTCAGAAGTCATGAAATCAGTGTTCTGTTGATTGCCTCTGCAACATGAAAAATAAATGCATAACAACTATGAACCTCTTCATTCTGAAATCCTCTGTGGAAACAGATCCCAGTGGGTTTGCTTTAAAAACTGGGTGTGGGAGCAGCCACTGAACAGCAGTGAGAATGCACAACATCCATAAATATTTTATGTACATTTTCCTCTGAAGGAAGCTAGGGCTCCTTTGAGAAAGGGCTGATTTCAAGACTGGGACAGGAAGGAAGTGCTCACAAAATGAGGGGAAATGCCAAAAGGACCAAGGAGCCAGCTTAAAGGGATTCTCACTAGCCAAACTGGGCAGTCTGAGTAACCAAGTAAAGATTGTAATAAATTATAATACTTCAAATAAAACGGAAAATTATCTGACCATCTATACTAATAAAAGGGTAAGATGCTAATTAGACCGAGAGACCTTTTGGACAAAACCATGGTGGCAGGGCCAATGCATAGGTGGCTAGGGGTGATCAGGCCAGGAAGGGAGGGCAGTTGGGGACGAGCAGGCCAACAGGCAGAGTGGTTAGGGGAGATCAGGCAGGCAGGCAGGCAGGTGAGCAGTTAGGAGCCAGCAGTCCTGGATTGTGAGAGGGTTGTCTAAAGGCCAGATATCCCCTGAGGGGTTCCAGATTGGAGAGGGTGCAGGCTAGGATGAGGGACAGTTCCTCCCGCCCCCCCTGCCCCCTGTACATGAATTTCATTTACTGGGCCATTAGTTCAAGTATAAATAAGCAGATTAAAGCTCAGTGAGGAATAAGGATTTACATGGTAGCTGTCCATCAGACAGCTATTCTATCTAATAAAAGAGTAATAGGCAAATTAACTGTACCTCCTCTACACCCATAAGGCATGCCCACCAGCCAATCAGGAGCAAGTATGCAAATTAACCCAACCAAGATGGCTGCGGCCACAGAGCAAGCAGGAGGCTTGGTTTCCCCTGCAATGGAGGAAGCTAAGCTTCCTGGCCAGCCATGGACTCCACTCAAGGCTACAAAGTTTCAATCATAGAAGATAAGTAATTCCAACAAGAATGGCTGTGGCCACTGAGTGAGCAGGAGGCTTGGGTTTCCCCGGTGATGGAGGAAGCCAAGATTTCCGCCTGCCCTAGCCTCCGTTCAAGGTTATAAAGTTTCATTTATGGAAGATAAGTCCCAGATACCAGGGCCTCCGCTTGGGTCACCAGGAGTGTGGCCAGCCTACAAACGACCACAGGCCCCTCTCCCAGGCCACCCTATGCCCCAAGGGAACCCCCACCCTGATCCAGGACACCTTTCAGGGCAAACCAGCCAACCTCCACCTGTGCACCAGGCCTCTATCCTATCTAATAAAAGAGTAACATGCAAATCTAACACACAAGATGGCTGCCCCCATGTGGACACAAGATGGCCAGCAGGGAAGGGACCAGGTCTGCAAGGAAGGGCAGTTGTGGATGATCAGGCCAGCAGGGGAGGGCAGTTGGGAGGGACCAAGCCTGCAGGGGAGAGGGCAGTTAGAGGTGACCAGGCCAGCAGATGAGGGAAGTTGGGGGCCTGCAGGGAAGGGCATTTGTGGGGGACTCAGGCCTGCAGGGGAGAGCAGTTGGGGGTGACCAGGCCTGCAGGGGAGGGCAGTTAGAGACAATCAGGCTGGCAGGGGAGCAGTTAGGCATCAATCAGGCTGGCAGGGGAGTAGTTAGGGGGTGATCAGGCTGGCAAGCAGAAGTGGTTAGGGGCAATCAGGAAGACAGGCAGGTGAGCAGTTGGGAGCCAGCTGTCCTGGATTGTGAGAGGAATGTCCTACTGCTGGACATCCCTCGAGGGGTCCCAGATTGGAGAGGGTGCAGGCTGAACTGACACACACACACACACATACACACACACACACCGTGCATGAATTTCATGCACCGAGCCTTTAGTCAATTATAAAGGAGAGGAGAACTTCACAGTGGCGAAGCCTGAACCAAGAGAACGAGGTGAACCTCGCCCTCAGTGGGACCTTTGGTCACTCGGAGACTTGCAGTGAGGAAAACTGCATCAGAGGTGCTTCACCTGCAGCTAATCTTGGAGACATCAGGCACTCAAACTGAGGGACACACAGCAGCACAGTGGCCTGTCAGCTTCATGAATGCCTCTGTCACAGGGTCGGGGAAACAGAAGGGTCCATCTGGGCAGGGCCCACAGCTTCACTGAACCCTTTGTTGTCAGAAATCAGTGGGACAACAGGCAGAAGGGGAATAGGGTCTGAGGCTTAGCTGGAAGAAATGTATCCATTACATTTTTGATGCCTTAATTGGCTAATGAAGGAAAATACACTCATTTATTCGAAATACTCCCTAAAGTATTTGGGGCATGGGGGGTGGGGAGGGCATCAGGTCAGTGGCTCATTCTCAAACGATTCAAGGGAGAAAAAGTTATTTTTATTTTACTTGGAACTTTTAACGTTGTGATTGTTTCAGAATTGTTTTTAATTTGCTACAAATAGTTTTTGTATATATTTACCCAAAAGTTTCCTTCAGCTAGAAGGTTGTTTATCTGAAAATTGCTGACATAATAGACTTGTTTGAAAATGTTTTATAAGATCATACATGTTTTAAAAAGCATGTCAGATATTTGATATTCACTGAATAGAAGATTCAGTATTGTTAAACTGAAAATTTGCCCCAAATTGGTCAAAAATTTAGTGTAACATCTGTCAAAAATCTTATTAGGTTTTTGTAGTTGTTGTTGTTGGTGGTGGGGGTGCCAAAAATGACATGATCTTAAAATGTAAATAAAGGACCCAAAACAATTTTGGAATAAAAAAGTTGGAAAACTCAAACTTCTCAATTTCAACACTTACTGGTATAACCATGACAGTGTGGTACTGGCATAAAAATATATATATATATATTTTTTAAATGAAATAGAATTGGGAGTTCAGGAAGTAAGTGTGGTCATTTGATTTTCCAACAAAGGAGCCAGGGTAACTCAATGGGGAAAGGATCATCTTTTCAACAATTGATGCTGGGAAAAGTGGACATCCACATACAAAAAGATTAAACTTACACCTAACATCATATACATAAAACAGCTCCAAGGGGATCATAGACCTTAATGCTGGGGCAAACCCATAAAACTTTAAGAAAAACATGTAAGTAAATATTTATAATATTAGGTTAGGCAAAGGGTTCTTAGGTTTGATATCAA